CCATTCGAATGGTAATAATAAGGGATCGATCGCCGGTTCGTTGCAGATCTTGTCGACGATCACTCGGCCTCTCCACACCCGACTACCCGACGATTAACCTCATCTGCGGCCACCGAATCATCCGCAGCGACCTCGTCAACAACATCGATCCCGACAGTGGAGCGATCGAAATCGCCCCCCACCGCGCCATAGCTCTTCGGATCTCCTGAAGCAAAATCGCTCGCAGCAGCCAAAGATCTTTCGGCCCCATCTACGCTGACCGGAGACCGATCGATTTCACTCGATCGTGGCGAACCACCTTCCAACCCTTCCTCCGAATCTCCTGATTCAGACGCATCTACGCAGTCATCCGAACACCGCCCGCTCCCATCCTCCCGGGCAGAGCCATCGACACCGTCGATTCGACTCAAATCCGGGTGAGCGTCGTCGAGTCTGGCGCTGCAGTGAGCTCCGGTCGCTGAGATTCGAACCATGGGATCGAACGACGGCTTACCCGACGGGCTTGGAGCAGATCTAACTCCCTTCCCTTTCTCGGCCGGCGTGAATCTTTTTCTCGAAGCACTCATCGATCGCTCGGCCAACCGAATTTCCAGGTTTACTTCCGGCGGCAAAGCGGGATATTTCCGGTGGCGAGCAAAAAACTCTTCCGGCGGTGAGCAATCTTTTTTTCCCTTTTACGAAAATAAAGAAGGTGAAAGAGAGTAAGAGAGAGAAGGGAGAGAAAGAAGAATACCTTAGAGATGGAGAATAATAAAAGACGGGAGAAGGATATTGTATTTATAGTGAAGCTCACGGAGATCGAGGTCAAGAAGCTCACTAACCTAATGGGCCTAAAAAAAAACCCATTAATTCCCCCGCCGAAACGGTGGCCCTTACGTACGAAAATAAAACGATATGAGGTCGATCCAGATTAACCCAGGGGATGACCAGTCGAGCGATAAACGTGTAAACCCGACCGATCCAGATCAAATCCGAGAGGGATAAGACGGAACGATCTTCGACCAGGAATACAAGTGACTTAAGCCTGTTATCCTCAAGACCGAATTTTTGTACTCCCCTTCCAAGAAAAAAGAGTTCCTTGCAAGCGAACTGGGGGGGGTGACTTACTGTTGGAGAGGGATTGAACACCCTTCCACAAGGTCCATCGAATAACAGACTCCAGCCCATCTATGGCCGGTTCGATTGGAGCTCGATTGAAATAGGAGACCGAACCGGAAGTCCGAACGAACAGTTCACTCAATAGTCGGCCGACTAGCCAAATCGAACTTATTTTTACAAATTATCACCGGCCCAGAAGCCCATCAAGCTCGGGTCGATCTTGGGCTTTTCGAGTTAGCTTTAGGGCGGACGAAGACGAAAACGAACTAAGCTATAAAAGGAGAGCAGAGGTGAAAGAGAAAGGGATCCGCAAATAGACACAAGAATACTGATGGCAAGATCTAGGGTTTAACGACTGATCGATCTCCCTTGTATTCTCGTCGGAGTTTCTCTAAGAACTCCGACCTTTCTGTTTTCTCAGAACCTCTTTGTAATCACTTTCGTCATCACATATTGATTAATAAAACGTCTTCTTAACTCCCACAAATCGAGTTTAGTTTCCTTGTTTATCGATCGAACAAACTCAGATTCAACAATGAATAGTGGCAGTTACATTAATTTCGTTCCTCTTATTTTCTTTGGGTGCAACTAGGGCTGGGCAAAAAAAACCGAACCCGAAAATCCGAACCGAATCCGACCCGATAAAAAGGAACCCGAACCGATCCGAACCCGACATAAGTACCGAATGGATCTTGTTTTACGGTATTTCGGGTTATGGGTATTACCCGAACCGAACCCGAACTTAAATGGATATCCGAAAGAACCCGAAACTTTAAAGTTCCAAAAAACTTGTATAATATCCGATCTAAATTTCTAATATGTTTCCAAAACAGATTAATATATTATTGAGTACCTACAATAATTACTTATGATATAAATAATTAACTCAAATATTTAGTCTAATATATAGTGTTATTTGGTTAATATTAATGTTTATGGTTGACATTACATTTGAAGTTAAGTTACGAATAAATTTGTTTTGAAGTTTATATAATGTTGTATTTAAAAGTTTAAATAGCACTTCTTATGTTTATAGAATTGTTAGTTGTTAACTTTAATTTTTTATGTTTCATTATGTATTATATTTCGTTCATACAAGGCTTTGGTTTGTCATTAAGCATGATATGTTTAGTGTTGTCATATATAGTTCATTGACAAATCTTATATGGTTGATAGATGAGTTTCACAATATTATTTTGAAAGAGAACAATATGGTTTGTAGAAGCTAAATACATAAATTTAATAAAATGATTGAAAATATAGTGAGTTTAATTGAGTATAAATTAGTATTTTTAGAACCGATAACCCGATTAGTATCCGAAACCGAAACTATTTCGGGTTCAACCGGATCTTTGACATGTTACTAAACCCGAACCGAACCCGACTAAACCCGAACCAAATCCGACCCGAATTTTTATAATATCCGAATGGGGCTAAAATTCATGAACCCGAAAATCCGAAACCCGAATGAACCCGAACCGGAACCCGATTGGGACCCCGATTGCCCAGCCCTAGGTGCAACGTTCTTCTTCTGTTATTTTCTGCTATTTTCGAAGGGACCAAATAAATGGATTAACGTTTTCATTTTAGGTTTTCTAAGAGTATGGATGGTTTTATATATAAATTCAAGGGCGAAGATACGCCACTGCCGGCTCCTCTTTTGTGAAGACCATGCAGAGCCGGACCTGTGAATTGAGGGGCCCTATTCCATAAAAAAAATTGATACGTAAATATTGAACTTGTTGAGATTCAAATGAGTGAGCAACAAATATTTGTTAAAATCAGTTACAATTTGATTTCTGCCTAGAAATCGAGAATTCTCTCTGCCTTTTTTTTATTTAACTTTCTGGAAACCAACAAAAAAAAAATGTCATTTTATCATTTTATCTGTATAGAATTTTTTTTTTTATGAACCAAAAGATTATTATCATTTTAGTTATAACTATCCCTGACCCACCTAATATTTCGTTCACATCTCTACCACCAAACTTTTTCCTATCAACGTTTTATATTCAATAGTAGATATATAAACATACATGAACATATAGATTTTTTTAAAAAATGGGGGCTCCATATATTGGAGGCTCCATCTCAATGTTTCATAACGATCTGTACAGATCCGACTCTAATACCATGTTACGACTGATCTTACAAAATGTTACTCATATATATATTATGAAACTTACTGATATATTAATTAGCGCCTTTATATCTTATTATGCAAATTTGTCATTTGGCAAAATTATACAAATTTGTGTATGTTGATGCAGTAGGGGCGTATTTATGTGTGTGCGCGCGTATAGATACGTGTGGTATTTTTCGTGTGAGGCTCCTCCATACTCACATATCCGTTTGGCCACGATCAAGCTCAACAGACCTTTTAAAGTGCAACATAAATAACTTCTTTTATTTAGCGATGTAGCTTTCATATCTTACCTAAATATATACTTGTCGTCAAAAAGGAAGCTTGACAAGATCATTTTAAAAGCTCTAGACTTGAGGGCCAGAAAAACTACTAATATGTTCGTATAAGAAGTGTAGTTCGTTTAAGTTACATTTATAATTTTTATCGACTACTTGAAGCGACATATACGAAAAAGTAATTCGCATGCACATGTTATTTGACTTTTTCCATATTTGGTCATTTGAAAATATCAATGCAAGGATCCTTTGATTTTCTGAGAAAGTACATGCAAGTATCTTATATTTTTTTGAGAAATTTCTTGGATTCACCCTCTAGGATGACTTCTAGGTTTACTAACCAATAAGATTTCATTATTTAATATTTAGAATCTTTTAAAACAAAAGCAAAATATTATAGTATATATTTAAAATTAAAAGATAAAAATAAATAGAAAACACTATTTAAAAAAATTATTTTTAATGCCGTCAACAAAACAATAAACTCTAAATCCTAACTCTAAACCTTCGATAACCCTTAGATTAATCTTAAACCCTAGGATTTATGATTGATTGAAAGGTTTAGAGTTTACCCAAAAGGTTAAGGATTAAGGTTTAGTGTTTTGTTAAACAGTACTATAAATATTTTTTTAAAAATCAAAGATTTATCCAAGGGTTTAAGATTTACATAAGGATTTTAAAATTTAGGATTTAGGGTTTAGTGATTTTATAAAAATATTATTTTTTTTAATTTTTTACAACTATTATTATTTTTATTTATTTTTATCTTTAAAATTTTTAAAATATAATATAATTTAACAATATTTTCTTAAAAGATACTGAATATAAAATAATATTATTTTATTGGTTGGTGACCTCTATATGTTTGGATCTTTATCATGGGTAACCAAACAACATCCCCAAACAAAGGCCAACAAAACAGAGACAAATGGCTCTTTTTATTGTAATTTCTGAAAGTATCTTATCCAAATTAAAGTTTTATATTTACAAAAATACATTAACGGTCATTTTCAAGATATTTATTAAATTTAATCGAAGACGGAAGATAACGGAAAACATTTCTCTACTCATTTTTGTCGTTATATCCAATTAAATAATATATATATTTTGACAAAAGTAAATAATATATTTTGAAGAATATTCTAATTAAGATTGGCACTTTAAGGAAAATATTTACGTTCTTAATTAAAAAAAAGCGTCACCTTGCAATCAAGGTAACCAGGTATAATACACAAAGAAGAGAAATTAGAAATCCCTAATTTTGCCATTGCCACCTATAAACATGCATCTACTTGCAAAATTTATGCATTAATTGGGCTGGGTACCGGGTTATACACGCATATGTAATAAGCCCAAACTACATATTTGGGCCATTCAGATCCAGTAAGGGCGACGTCGTCGGTTTTAGTCTGAGTTACTAATCTCGAAAAAGTTTATCGAAGAAACGTTCAAGTTGTGACAGAGAATCTCGGTCGTCTTTTGTTGTTGTTGTTGTTGTTGTATCCGACGAAGCTCATTATTCTTCTTCTCCGATTAGATCCGTTGAAGAGACCAGAGACTCTTAAGGTTTTGCTGGGATTCATATCATAGTGTTATTGTATAGTGCGAGAAAGTTAATCGATGATGTTGCAGTCGCATTCAAGGTTTCTCCTTCAGACGCTGTTGACGCGTGCTCAGAAGTCAGTAATTTCCTTCATCTTTAGTCCCTCATTTTACAAAATGTTCTGCTCCGATTCTCCTTTTATTTAGTTTGCAGTTAGACCCCTTTGGTTTGGTCGATTGAGAAAAATCTGAAACCTTTCCCACAAGAACTGAACTGGGTTTTGTAGAATGAGAGAAATGTTCAATTCTTTCTTATTAATCATTCATACTTAATCCCTCATCTTGTAGATTGTTCTGCTCTGATCTTAGTATTTTCTGGTCATTTGCAATTCGACCCTTTTCGATTCTGTATGTGGGTTTTTGTAGAATGGTGGGAAAGTTCAGTACTTTCTTAATCCTTTTCGATCCTGGATTGTTAGTTTTGTAGAATGCCAGAAAAGTTTAATACTTTCTTAATCCTTATTTGATTATGAATTGTGGGTTTTTGTAGAATGGTAGTAAAGTTTGGTACTTTCTTATCATTATTTTTCAGTCTTGATAAAGCAGTGGAGCTAGATTATCAATGGATTGAGTTCGATGATGTTCGTTACCATGTTCAGGTGAGTCTTTGAAAACAGCAAAGATTCATATGATCTTGTTTAACTTTTACTGATGTTTTTGTAAGTGTTAATTAGGTGACAATGAAGAATCCAAACATTTTGTTGCTATCTGTTTCATTACCAAACCCTCCACCTGAAGCAATGTCCTTTGATGGACTTCCATTGGGAGCTATAGAAGCTATTAAAACCACTTACGGCACGGGGTTTCAGATCCTTGATCCTCCTAGAGATGGATTTAGTCTTACCCTGAAGCTCAACTTCTCCAAACTTCGTCCTGATGAAGGTTCAACCAGTCTCTTTTTTGTTATTTAGATACTGAATGATTCACTCTGCCTAACTTGCTTTGTTTTCACAGGGTACAGAAACTCGTTATTAACGAAGCTAGCTTCCATTAGAGAAGTAGTAATGGGTGCGCCGTTAAAAATCATTTTGAAACATCTAGCTTCAAGGACGGTTGCTCCTGAGCTGGATAGGCTTGTAGCAATTATGCATAGACCTAACGAGACTTTTTTCCTCGTGCCTAAGGTATATATCTAATCCTATAGGACTTTCAAATTTTAACCATTGTAGTAGAGTAGATTCTTGTGATTAGTTAAAGTTTAGACTGAGTGATAGACTGGTGCATCACAGGCGGATAAAGTCACTGTGGCTTTTCCTATGAGATTTAAAGACTCTGTGGACACAATTCTAGCTACTTCTTTCTTAAAGGTAAACCAAAAATTTACAAATGTTTGGTTTTTGGATTTTAATGTGATTACTAAAAGTAAAGTACATCTCAACGATCATATATAGCAATTTGTAGAGGCGAGGCGTGCGGCTTCGCTTAGTAGTGCTCCTTCTTGCTCGTGGTCTCCAACAGCACCTCAGGAATTAGAAGGAGCTCCTAAAGAAACACTATCTGCTAATGCCGGTTTTGTTACTTTTGGTATGTCATCTTACTAGAGAAAGTGTTCAGTTTTGTTTCAGTTTCTGGATTAATAGTGCTACTAACGTTGGATGATTGATGTGGTAGTCATAATGCCTCGGCATGTGGAGGGTGAGAAGCTTGACCGTACTGTATGGAACTTGTCAACCTTTCATGCTTATGTTAGTTACCACGTCAAGGTTAATCTTCCTTGCATTTTGCACTACATAGAGACTCTAAACTCCCACTCTCTCTCTCTCTTTGAGCGATTCTAAAACGGAGGTTTATTTTGGTTTGGTATTGTATGACAGTGCTCAGAGGGATTTATGCACACTAGGATGCGGCGTCGTGTGGAGTCTATGATTCAGGTAGATCATACCTAATCCGTTTTGTATCTTGTCCCTTTTTCTTCAACTGTTTCAGTTTTTTTTTGTTTAGTTTCTTGTTGTTTTGTAATGGCTAGACATTTGTGTTGTCTCTGTCTCAGGCTCTAGATCAAGCTAAGCCATTGGAGAAAACAAGATCCATGAACAACAGGTCATTTAAACGGCTAGTAAGTTTCTAAAACTGAGGTTAAGAGTATTCTCTTTCAGTAAACATTGTCTGAGCTTTTTTTTTTTCTTCTTCTTCTTCCCTAATAGGGAATCGACGATGCCAATCACACCAATTCGAAATAGTTCCACCTCTCACGAAGCAATTTTGTAAAACCTTGTGAGTAGCTGTTAAGACATTTTTTTTTCCCCCGCTGAATTCATTTATTTGGTTCTGAATGTTTTTCTTAGTACAATTCTTTCATATATTTTCTTATCCAATATATGATGTTAAAAACTGTAAGAGATACACCTCGAGACAAATAAAAGATGGATAGATATATCAATGAATTGGATAATTGAAGCTCGTTGTGATATCATGATGTTCAAATTTAGTTTTTAGTTAGTTTAGTATGGAAAAAAAATGATAAAGCCTCTCCGCCCATATATTATTGTCTTCTGATTAAGATTACTGAAAAAGCACAATTTTGTTTGAATACTTTCGAGGCCGAAAAATAATGAATGTGCTTGTTTTCCATGGTCCAGATTACAAAATCAGTTTAAGAGAAAAAACAACAATATATTGGCTTTGTCCAGGTTTGAACTGGAGACCTTCAGTGTGTTAGATTGACATGATAACCGACTACACCACGAAACCTAGGTGATTGCGCTATACTTTATTTAATTTACAATATGTTTCTTGAAAATTCATAAAAATATTTTTATTTACATTACTTAAGTCCAAAGTAGCTAGTTAGTTACCAAGCCCCATACTTACATATAGGGCCCATTGAAAAGGACCCTGCACTCTGCAGGCTGCAACATTATGGTTTCTAGGTAAAATGAAAACGTGGAAACCTTTTTTTTGGTGTAATGAAAACGTGGAAATTGACAAAGAAAACAAACTTTTTAAAAAAATATGAAAATCTTAGTTCGTCCGGGTTCAAATCGAAGACCTTCAGTGCGTGTTAGAATGACGTCAGAACCAATTGCTCATATGCTCTTAATTTTTTTTTAAAAAACGAACCCACCTACGGGCCAGATTAAAATTTAAAATAATTTAAACAGTTAAAGTGTTTAATATAAAATTGTTCGTTTCAGAATATACATATTAGTTAAATTTTGTATATATACTGTAATTGAATACTAAAATAAACCATGCTTTATGGAAAATCAGTTAATATTATCTATCATTTTTTTTACTTAACATTATCTATCATTTTTGAAATTATTATTGTTTGTTGTTAGATATTTTAGATGTGTTTCTTTTGTTAAATAACCTATGTTTTAGTTATACATTAAGAATTGAATTTAGCCTTACACCATTCCTTGTATTTTGTTATAAAAATTCATACAAATGATTTTAAAACCATGTGGAAAATATATTTTTAATATATATATATATGGTTTACAGTAAAATATATATTATATAAATCTAAATAAATATTGAAATATGATATCCTTGGGTTTTTAACTTATATATATAAGTTGAAAAACCAAGGATATTAGATTTAAATATTTATTTAGATTTACATAATATATATTTTGGAATATAAACGAAACGAAAGAATATATATAAAAGAAACTCAAAGGAAATTCCAACATGTATGTTTTCTTAGGGCATCTCCAGCCTTATTCAATTTTTGCTTCTAAACTTCATTTTGGAGTAAAATTTTTTCAAACTCCACTTCATATTCAACTCCAAAATTTAGTAATAGCTAGGGGTACTCCAATTATAGAGTAATCATACTATTTAATCCGTTTTGGAGTTAAAATTTTATTTATTTATGAAACAGTCATTTTAAGTTTTTCATATTGAAATAATATTTTAAATACTGTAATAACATAAAAATTTTGATATTATGAAAAATAATATTTAATAATTTTACACAAAAGAGGCATAAACTAATAAAAATAAAAAATGCACATAAAAATAATATAAAATAAATAATTTAATAATCTGATAAATTGCTTTTAGAAGTATGAAGATCTGTAAAATATTGTTCAAATAAAAAATATGAGTTTGTTTATCTTGCGGGTCAAAATTTCGATCTGATAACATTTGTACTTGTTGAGCTTGATATATGCCCAAATATTTAGATCATGTATTAAATTCAATTTACAAAACAAAACTTTTTTTCTTTGTTATTTTATTTTAATGCATATTTTGGTATTGAATTAGGAAACTTGCATATGATGAAAATTGCACTAATGGAAGTTGTAAGAGAACCAATACATGTAGATATTGAAATTACATAAAATGAAAATATCTGATTTCATAATTTTTTTGTTCGATTTAGAAAATTAAAGATAAAGAATCTCAATGTTCATTAATAAAACAAAATATGGTATCTTAAATTTATTTTATGATTTACTGTAACTTTTACTAAATAAATGTTTAATTTAAATAAAATTTATTTTTATGAAAGTTTTAATAGTTGGGTTAATTGTTAAGTTTTTTAAAGTTGAAGGTAATACTAACAATTATTAACTAAATAAAAAGAAATCATTTGGAAATATTCATTTTTAGAGTAAAAATAGAGTAATACATTAGAGTAAAACCCTACTTCATTTTGGAGTAAAAAATGGAATAATACATTGGAGATGATCGAAATGGCTCTTCATAAAAAGCTTATTTTCTATTTGTATATTTGATGAGCCACAATATTACTCAATAATAACTAACAGGTCCAAAGGATCTATTATACACAATGAATATATTAATAATATCACCAGATTTTGATCCGCGCTTAGAAAGTGCAGGTTTATTTTCAAAATACAATAAATTTTTCTAAATGAATTTTTATATGAGATTTTGACCCCCAATTTTTGACCTGCAATTTTTTTATCCTGAACCAAAAATCAAATGGATAACTAAATTCATTTTTTCGGAATTATCAGATATTTTAATTTAATCATCTAATTTAAACTGAAAACGTCTAAATTATTAGATAGAAATTAAAAAAAGGAGGTAAATCTATTGTTATTAGAAAGATTCATGGCAAATTTATTTATATGTATATTAACTATCAAGCTATAAAAATGAGGATAACGTGTTTGGCCAATTTACCAATGTGTGTCTTGTTACACGAGACATGGATATTGGTTCCCCTTAAAAAGATAAAAATAATTATATCGGTTAGCTTGTTTGTTAACAAAATCAATATATAGAAATCACAAATCTATATAAGATATTAAACTTACAGTAGCATCATATATGATTAGTTCCATAGATTCTACAACGTCTTTCGTGAAATGTCTCCATGTATCAATGATCTTCACTTCGATGCGACATGCCCACTTCCGTGGTTTGAAATCATTTAAGAAAGTTAGCTACATATTGTTCTCCATTTTTTTCTGTATCTGTAGATCTGATGAATATCGTGGTTAACGGATCGTATATTTATAATAGGTAGGTGGTATATCGATTTAGGTTACACAAATATAGGTCAGCATATTTTAGAGATATGATAAAATATGTAAGTTTGTGGAATAAAGAATATTATGCGAGTATATTGCAATTAGAATAATTTTTTTTTAATTTCTAAAAGTTAATGCTAATCCAATTAAAGTAGGTTATTGATAATTCTATTCGAATAAGAAAAATAATAACTAATTATGATATTAAAATAAAACTTGTAAACGAAGTAATATAAATATTTCCGGATTTTGTTATTAGATATCGTATATACAATATATCGTTAATTAAAATATTTTCTCAGTAAATTTAAATCGAGTTTATTTTTTTTTTTAAATTGGTCATATACAATATTGTATATACCAATATATTGTTAATTTAAATTTGTAATTATCAACAAATCATATATAAAATCTATAGTTAATTTAAATTTGTAATTATCAACCAATCAAAACTAGAGGTGTTTGAATTATAGACTCAAACCCACTAAGACCTATAGAAACCGACCCAAAACAATTCAAATATCTTATTAGGTTCAAATGTCTAAGACCTATGACATCCAGACCCGCAAGAAACCTATCCGTACTTGACCAAAATACCTTTTCTTACTCTCTCGAATTATATTTTTACTGTATTTTAAAAAAATTATATTTGTTGAGTCGATAATATTTATGATTTACTTGCAGATTTTGGAAAATTTAATATTATGTGAGTATATTGCAATTTAATTTTTTTTTAATTTCTAAGAGTTAATGCTAATTCAGTTAAAGTAAGTTAGCGTATATACAATATATCGTTAACTAAAAAATTTGCTCAATACATTTAAATCGATTTGTTTTCTTAATTTGGTCATATACAATATCGTATATACCAATATATTGTTAATTTAAATGTTTAATTATCAACCAATCATATATACAATATATAGTTAATTTAAATTTAAATTTGTAATTATCAACTAATCAAAACTATAGGTGTTTGAATTATGGATTCAACCACTAAGACCTATATAAACCGACCCAAACCAAAAAAAATCAAATATCTAATTAGGTCCAACTATCTAGGATTTACGGGATGCAGACCTGCAAGAAACCTATCCGTACTTGACCCAATGTCTTTTCATACTCTCTCTAATTATATTTTTACTGTATTTTATATACAAATATATTTATTGAGTCGATAATATTTAAGATTTACTTGGCATATTTTGGATAATTTATAGTACAGATTTATAATGTTTTTAATATTTTAAACATAATAAATAAAAAATATTTGCTATAAGTACTTGAAAAAAAAATTAATGTAATATATATAGTTTTGTTTTTAACAGATGGTTTGTTAAAATGTTTTTATCAAACTTGATTTTATAAATATTTGAAACTATGTAATGTACAATAATGTGAAGTAATATGTTGCATGCTATATGCTAACTTATTTTAATAACTGATTTTTAAATATTGTAGGTCTATTTTTAAGAATAAGATATAGTGTATAACATTTTTGCATAACAACCACAATAATGGATGATAAATTATTTTTAGAAAGAAAGTGTATCATATGGAATTAAACACGTGTGATTTTATATATATACACTTCGAAACATTAATATATAGGTCC